CTTGGAAATGTCCACTAGTATTAAAAAGGAAGAGTTAAAGTTGTTGAAAGAAATCTTTTCTGTAAGAGGCACTGAGTGGCCCCGACAGTGTGTCCCTGTCACATAGGCTGCCTGATTCTGGCTAAGATGCTACAGGTGGTGAGGAAAGGGATACATGAATATTAAGTTATTAATTTCCAAGCGTGATTCAGCTGAGTATGTGGGAAATAATTCAGTTAAGGAGAGGAAAACACCAAACAGAAAATGCCGCTATGCTCATAAATCTTGGACTCAGATCTTACTTGGTTCTCCAAAAACTGAACAACTTTTAGTGAAAAAAGAAAAAAGAAACCACCACTAGAAAACTGTCCCTTCAGGATCGAGAGGAACAGTGAAAGGACCCCAGTAAATTTTCACCTGCCTGCTTAGCTCTGAGCTCATGGGCCACTTAATGCGGCTTACACTCCAAATTGCTTTCTGTAACCCACAAAGCACAGGGGAGAGGCTGCACCATTTCTGCCCCAGGGGACTCTTTCTTTGACATCACATGTGCTTTTCTGGGCCACAAGGGCAGTGCTGAAACTCAGCATCCAAGTCAGTTTGAGTTCTTCCCCAAACCCCAGGGCTTCGCCGGGTGAAAAACTGTCCACTAAGCATGATGAATTGTCCTTATGTGGTTCAGGGCGCAGGACAGATATCCCAAGAGTCAGGTGCAGCTTCATCCCTGCTTCTGTCCAGGTCCAAAGCAAGTGGCTCTGCCCACCGCTGCTGCCTGCAGTCCACACGAGCCCCGAGGTTGGAGGTTCCATCGCTGGGGTGGCAGTGGGGACCTTGGGCCGCATGAGGCCATCCCACCACCCTCTGTGGCCTGTGCTCATGTCCCGTGGCCTCGGAGCCAGGCAGTGGATCTGCTGTCCCTGTAAGGTCCCTCCCTGCAGCTCAGATCCAGTCTGACCCCCTTGCCTTTGTTGGGGTCACGGCAGGTCGGCAGGGGCAGACCAGGCAAGACATTTGCAAATGCCCACCCCCATCCTCCCCTGGCGAGTGAGCCTCCCCTACCCAGACCCCCAGCCCAGCCTTAAACCCTGCAGACGCCTCACCTGAGTGTGGGTGGCAGACACCTTCCTCCACACGGATGCAAGAAGCTGAAACTCCTAAATCAGACCCATTCCCTGTGACTTCCAGGGTGAGAGTAGGGAGATTAGGATTCTCCCCCCAACACACGCCCCCTGCTGACCCTCACAGGGACCCTCAGGCGTCTTGGTTCAGCTCAGGGAGGCGGGTCAGAGCTTGTGTCTCTCAGGCCTAAAATGCCCCCAAACCCCACAGGACCCCTTCTCTCAGCAGTGGCCACCTCCTGCCTCCACCTCCCCTCATCCTGAGCGGCCTCCCCACCCTCTCCAGGGTCCTGGATCCTCTAGGCGGAAGGGGCTTTGGGTGCCTCCTGGCCTCTGCTGCCTTGCCTGACGCTGCGCTTTGTTACTGTGACTGTTCCTGTAGTCCTGTCTCCCTCCAGCACTGTGCCCCCGAGAGGGCAGGGACTGTGCTCTCCCATCCGAAGGGGATGGGTAAGTGTGACCCTTGGGGCTTCGCGGGGACCTGGTCTCCACTTGCCTCCTGCCGTGCCCGCAGCACTGCCGCTGGGCTCAGCCCAGGTCTCCCCTCTCCTGTCTCTGCTCCTGATCTGCTCTCCAGTTCTATGAAGGACCCTCCAAGGGCAAGGCTCTCAAGTCTAGCATCTGGCACCCTCCCCCTGGCTTCAGGGAGCCCCAAGTGCGTCCCTCCTGACACCTCTACTTGGAGCTGACATACTTGCATGCTGGCTGTCTAATGGACATTTCATTCATTCATTCATTCAACAATATCTACTGAGCCTCAGCTCCAAGCCAAGATCTCCGCTCTTGTGGAAATTATGTTCTGGAGGGGGGGGGCAGCCACCGCTTGTGATTCATGGAAATAATCATAGGATATTGAGAGAGAACAATAGGGGAACCCATTCAGAGCAGGCTTCTCAAGGCAGCCTTTCAGGGGGATCTGAAGCTGTGCATTGAGGAGAGGAGGGCTCCAGGCAGGGACACAGCAGGCTGTCTCCAAAGCATCCCATACTAATGCTCACAGCTGAATTTAAAATCTATGCTCTGCCCCTGTCCCCCTCTCCTTTCCCTAGATAAGGAGGGATCCCTCCATCCAGCCAGTGTGCATGCCAAAAACCCAGGGGCCAACCTGGACACCCTTCTGCCCCCACCTCCAATCACCAAGTCCTGTGGGTTGTCCCTGGAACCCAACAGTGTCACTCTGCCTCCATCCTGGACTAGCTGCCATCTTCTCTCTCCTGAACTGTGCAGCACCCTCCCCCCACATCGGCTCCCCCACTACCGTTTCTCTGGTTTCCTTCTTGTGTTCTTCCAACCATCTCCTTGTTCTACTACCATCTTTTAAAAAGGCATGTTTCCTCCAGTCACTCTCTTAAACTTGGACTCTGGCTTCCCCTTTGTTCTTAGGATGAAATATTGAATCCTTGAAGCACACCCTTAGTGGGTGCCCCTGCTCTCCTCCTGGGCTCCTGTGGAGCTACTCACACCCTTCCTCCCTGGGTTCTTTCTTGAAAGCTGCTCCAGGGCCTTTGCATAAGCACTTACTCCCACTTACAGTGATCTCTCTCACCTACCCTTAAAGTTTCATCTCCAACCTCAAGGGACTAACTTCACAGCCCTTTCAGGTGTGTACTGACTGTGTGCTTACCTAAGCCCGCCCCTCTGCTCTAGGTAGGCTCTGGGGAGCAGGGGCATCTCTCTCTTGCTCACCATTGTAGTCCCAGTGTGAGCTGCTACAGCAAAAAGCATTTTGCAGCTGTGCAGCCACTCTGGACACCCAGACATCCTCTAATGGGGGGCTTCTGCCTTTGATTGCCCCTCAGAAGGGATGGGAGACTGTCTGGGTCCTTGGGCTCTTGTTGCACGGAGGGGTCTGGGCGCCACACAGCTAGTCGGTAAGGGGGCTGGTAAACTAGGGCTGATTTTTGAAACTTCTGCTTTTTTAATCAGCAGACCTTTTTTTCCTGACATACAACCTCAAGTGGAGCTCAGCATTTGAAAACTGAGCTTCTCTGCTAGACATGGTGCCGGGCACCCTGCTCGCCTCCCTTCATGCTTCCCCAGGTCCCTCCCTGAGCCAGGGGTGAAAACCTTCTCTTTACAAACAGGACCAGGAGAACCTGCATCTTCCTATCACCCCTCCACCACCGTGTAAGCTGTCTGCTGACCAGGTACAGGATTCTGAAGCAGAAGTCAGCTCAGGAGTCGAAAAAAACAACTGGATCATTTTCTGTGTCTTTCTAGAATGCAACCATGCAATGCATTAAAAAAGCTTTAGAATCTTGATGAATCTTTGATAGAATGATTTGACTCTCAAGAATTAGTGTAAGAAAAATACAGAAGACGTAGGTTCCTACAAAGATATCGACTGTTGCCCCAATTGTAAAAGCGGGGAGGACTAACGGGTCTTCCAGACACTCAGCAGTGAGGGAAGATGAAATCACCGGCTGCTGCTCACAGGGGAAGGCAGCCTTTGAGACGAGAAAGCACACTTGATCCAGAAATAGAACCACGATGGTGTCCGGAGAGAAATAAAGTGACAAAATGTTGTGCAGAAAGATCCCATTTTTGTAAAAGAAAAAATACCTATGAAGACACGTATGCACAGAACGAGCAGGCGCCGATGTTAGCTGTGGGATTACAGGGCGCTTTCTATTTTGCTTACTTGTATCTCTAGCTTTTCTACAATAAACATTGTCCTTTTATAAGAAAACAGCAGATGACTAATTATCAGTAAGGTAACACAGATGTATCTGAGGAAGGGAAAGAAGGCCCTCGCAGGCGCAGCACAGCTGGGGACTGGGTCTCCCCTCGGCCGGCCTCCCTCTTCGCGGTGCAGGACTGGCTGGGAGCCCTGGGCAAGGGTGCGACCCCGGAGAGAGGGGCTGTTCCCAGGCAAGCACTTGCTGGCTCTGGGAGGAAAGGGCTTCTAAGAAGTGGGCTCTCTGACCCCGCAGGCAGCTTGGCCCTGCCATCCCAGAATGTCAGCTGTGACCTGTGTGTAGTCAAAGTGACCGGCCAGCCCTGTCCCTTGCTGTCGCCTTCAGGGTAGGGTTAGAGGGCCTGCCCTGCTGGCTCCAGGGGGCCAGGCAGCCACCACCCACCCTCCCGATGGGTGCTGGGCCGGAGTGCATCCGTCACATTTACCAGGTGCCTCTGCATCGGGTTGTGGTGTAATCACCCCCACCTCTGCCCTGGGTGGCGGGCCTGTTACTTGAGTTAAATGGAAACCCACAGAAATGCAGACCCCGTGGTCACTGGGCAGCCTAAGCTCAGAACTTGCGCAGTGACTTTGGAGGCTGGCTCAGTGCGGGGCGGTGCCGGGTCTCTGAGTGCTGTCTCAGTGCCCACCCTGCACCCACTCCACCGGGGCAGTGCTGGGCCGCCTCCTCCAGCCCAGCCCCCATGTCCAGAAGTCACCCTCGCCCCTCTCAGAGCCAGGCCGCCTCACCAGGCTGGGCTGGGGGTCCGCCTGTGCACCTGTGCAGCCCAGATGCCGGGCGGCTTGCAGGGCCATTCGGAGAGGGCTCAGGAGAAAACAAGGGCTCAGTCACACGGAAGACCACACCCCTGCAGCTCAGGGTCAGGCCAGGGGTTGCTGGTTGGGACGGGCTTTTCTGAGAGAAGCTGAGCCCCCGTTCACGCTGTCTCCAGAACATCCTGCTTTCTCTGCTCAGTTCACCCTTCCCGCCCAGGCCGCTGACCTGTTCAGATCCCTTAGCCCTTCTGGGGACACAGCCACATGGCGCCCACCACCCAGAACCGCAGGCCTCTGGGTGCTACCTCGAGCTCTGTACTGGAGAAACCAGTGAGTGAAATCTCTCCTTCCTTGGCTGGAGCTCCCCACCCTCCACCCGGATCAGGGCCCTTCCCACCCCGGCCTGAGCTGTCTGAGCAAACGGAATCAAGACAAGACAGGCTGAGGTATATAGTTCAAAGGTTGGTATCTTTTTTGGTTTCCTTTTTAACTTTTGTAAAGAAAAATAAGGTTGTGTTTCTTGTTTGAAAGAAAACATAAGTAAACCCCTCCCCACCCAGCCCCCCCAACTGCCCTTCGGGGCACCGGGACCCCTGGCCCTGGGCAGGAGGGGCTGCGCTGGCCCGGGCGCAAGAGGAGGGAGCTGGGCACTCTGTCAGGACTTCCTCAGGGCCAGAGAGGGAGGGCGTTTGGGAATGGAGTCTGGCTTGGTTAGGCAAACAGTAAAATTAAAAAACTCAACACACACACCCACTATACAAATGGGGGCCAAGAGGCACCACCTCCGAGTTGGAACCATTTCTGGCAGTTGGACTCAGGGGCCTGGTACAGCCCCTGGCCCCCCAGTTCCCCATGTTCTGGGGTGGGGGACAGGGCAGGAAACAGTAGCTCCCAGGAGTACAGGGAAGTCAGAGCAATCCCTTCCCCACATGGTAAAAAAAATTACTAAAAAAGCACCCAAAGCTTGAAAAAACTAAACCTCCCTGGCAGGGAGAATTGGGGGCATTCTGCTTATCAACAGAATGCCTACCTGGCAAAAATGTGTAGAAAAATAAAATTAAACTTTATCCCTGAATGAGAGTGAAAACCCTTCCCCTGCCCTCACAACCCTCCCCCGAGGCTGCTGATTCCTCCCCAAGGGGCACAGACAGGTGCACTGACACGCACAAGTGTGCACGCACGCTGCCCCACACCGTGTCCAGGGCCCAGGGCAGCGGGGACTGGGGGTTCCGACATCCACAGACACACAGTCTCTCACTCCTCACAGCACTTTGAGGGTCCCTGTGCCAGGCTGAGGTCCCTCCTTCCTCCTCTGGGTTGGGGGCGGGCAGGATGGGACCCCAGCACAAGGGTGGGGGCAAACCTGCAGTATCGGTCAGGAGGGCAGTGGCAGGATGGGGTTGGGGAGTAGGAAGCAGGCCAGCTGAGGTGGCCTGGAGACAGATGGAGGTCACGCTGAGCCCACCGTGACATGATGGCAGAATGAAAGCGAGGGAAGTGGGGGCTCAGTGGCTGAGGGGCTGAGGAGCTGAGTTCACAGCAGGGTGGGGGCAGGGGGTCCAGTTTCATCTGAGACCCATAGACTTAGGGGTCAAGCAAGGCCCCTGTGGACAGTGCATGGGGGAGGGGCCTGGTAATGGGGTGGGGAGGGTCCTGGGTAGTGTTCTCAGGGTCACTGGGCTGCTGCTGGGGAAGGTCACCAGAGGTAATAAAATGGGGGCACACGTAGACAGAAGAGCCTTGGGGGTGCTTACACTAGTCCAGCCAAGCCCTCAAGACCCAGGAACTGAAGAGCCAGAGGGCAGGCCTAGCCTACAGCCTACAGGAAGGGCCAGGACAAGGACGGAGGTGCTGGTCCTCAAGGGGCCTGTCCTGGGGAGGTTGATTCTCCACCAGACCATCCCTCCTTCCTCCCCCGAGGAGCCCAAGGCGCCCGGTGGGACAGGGGAGTACAGTACAGAGAGGCGATCACAGGCCTCGGGCGCGGAGCCAGGGCTCAGGCCGGCTCCTGCTCCCATTACAGTAGTAGAGGCAGCCCTGCCAGGCAGGACTGGGTGGTGGGGAGGGGACCCCGGGGTCATGCAGCCCCTTGGGGTCCCTGGCCTCAGGATCAGAGTGTCAGCACCAAACACACAACTGATATCAGCCAAGGAGGTGGGCGGGGAGGGGTGTCACCCCAAGACCTCGCTCAGCCCTGCAGTCGGTTAGATGGGGAGAAGGCGTCCGGGCAACAGGACTCCATCTGGTGAGGTCAAGAGCCCTGGCGATGAGGGCGGAGGCGGCAGCCCTCGGGGAGGGCTCTGAGGCCGGCAGTGGTGGGAGCTGCACGCACCTGGGCGCACCCTCCGAGACTCTCTGGGCGCCAGGAGGCTGTGGACGGCAGTCAGCGCAGGCTCTGGTATAGGTAGGCAGAGGTGAAGAGCGCGTTGGCAGCCAAGCTCACAGCCAGGAGGCTCCGGATCAGGGAGGGGCCAAAACGACCTTCCAGAGAAAACAGAGACACAGTCAAAGGCACAGAGGTCCTGAGGAACCCAAACATCTGCCCCGCCCACCTGAAATGCAGGGGTGCGGCTCTGCAGCCCCGCCCCAGAGGCTCTCCTGGGCTGCGGCCCCACCCCCACAGGCTCTCCCCAGTTCTTTCCTGCTGCCCAGAGACCTTCCACCCAGAAAGACCCTGAGGCCAGTTGGCTAAATCCTGACTCCCTGAAGGTGCCTCCTTTCCTGACCCTGGGCCATCAGGCAGGTACCCAGCTAGGGGGGCATACACTTGTTTCTTGCCGTGGGGGTAGGCGGGCTGTGGCAAAGGCTTCACAGGCACGTGACACAGGGGCTTTAGGGCATGAGTGCCCTGCCCAGACCTCAGAGGCAGTAAGTTGCTGCCTGGGGTCCCCAGCCCCAGGTTGATGCTGCAGAGTCACATCCCAGACCCCACCTGATTTTGGGGAGAGCACCCGTTTCCAGTCAGCTTAAGACAATCATTCCAGGAAACTTCCTCATACACACACACATCTCCCACAGGGCCCGGGGTGGGGGTAGGGGGCCAGGAGCTGACCACTGGTGCTTTACACAGAACCAGGACTTGAGATCTGATCTCACACCCTGCCCCGCAGCCTGCGAGCAGGGGAGCCGGGATTTGAACCCGGGCAGCTCAGTGCCCAGTGCAGGCCTGCAGCCTCTGCACCGGGCCCAGGCGCTCCAGGCCAAGCCCATCCCAGGGAACTTTCTGCAATGGTCAAAGTGTTCTCTATCTGTTCTGTCCAGGAGGGCAGCCACAGGCCACATGCAGCAATGGAGCACTTGCAAGGTGGTTGGTGCAGCTAAGCAACTAAACTGTTACTGTTATTAAATTTTAATTGTTAAGTTTAAATAGCTGCCTGTGGCTAGAAACTACTGGAATGGCGGAGATCCAAACCCTAATACAGTCTGGGAATGCTGTCTGCTGAGCCCCAGGCAGAATCCAGAAGGTGCTGGGGGAGCAATCAAACCATCCTGTCACCCGAGGGCCCTTTGAGGGGCTGTTCTCTGTCAGGGTCCCAGACTGGAGACAAAGGTGGCTGCAGACCCTCAGCCCCGACACTGCCCTGCCCTCCACCCGTGCATTGCATTGCGGTGCAGACCTCGCCAGGTAGCGGCCTCCTCTGCGCACCCTCTGGTGGTGGTGTCCACCACACAGGAGGACGACTGGGAGGAATCGTCCTCTTTCTTGATGGAGCGGCTGCTGCAGGTGCTGCCTCTTTTTGGCACTGACTTCATGTCTGCAGGGAGAAGGGGTGTTTCAGTGGGAGCTCACAGCTCACCCCCAGGGACAGACGCGGGGCAGCTCCACCTCCAATCCCAGGACGGTCCTTGGATGGGGCCAGCCAGCCAGCCCTGCCCGTCCCAACTCGCCTGGCCCGCCCTGGGCAGTGGGCAGTGGGAGGCCAGGTCCTCATTCAGGTCCTGTCCGCGTAGCTGCCGTGAAGGGAGCTGGTTTTAGATCAGAAGCAGCAAACTCAAAGGCCACCAGGCGGTGGAAGACGATGGCCACAAGTGAGGCTTCGGAGGGGGCAGGTCGATGGGGCAGGGAGTGGAAGAGGCTGGGGCGTGGGACCTGAGCCTGCCCTTCCAACTGTCTGGCCAGGATTCCGGCCCAGGGTGGCCAGATCTTCTGACATCGTAAGAGACAAAGGAAATCCACATGTTCATGTGAAAGATTTAAAAGACTGAGGCCTAATTTTAAAAATTTAAAAATGCTTTGCAGAAAAACACCATTTGAGCAAAACAATAATATCTGCAACCAGATTCAGCCTGATGTGTTTTTGATCAATTCCCAGGAACAGAGGACCCTCAAGGTCAATTGTAAAAGAAGAAAATAAAATCAGCCAACAAAGGGCCAAGTCCTGGAGGGTTCAAGGTCACCAGAAGCCAGGCTGTGGGTGTCTGGACTTGGGGGAGTGGCCACACAGTCGGAAAGGAGCCAGAACAGGTCCTCTGTGGCCTCTTGACAGTGTTCCCACCGCTGCACACTGACCACAGGGGCCTCCCATGGCCTGCTGGGCTCTCCTGCCTCCGGGAGGGTGGTCACAGGGCCGTACCCACGGTGTGCTTCATGTCCCGCGTGGGCTGCCTCTGTAGGACCTGGGGTGGCTCGACGGGGAAGAGGCTGCCGTTGTGGGGCGAGTGTTCGTCTGAGCTGCTGGGGGTGTTGGGGGCCTCTCCGGGGGGCGACGGGAACAGCAGCAGCTTCTGCCCCTTCAGGTTGAGCCGGGCAGGGCTGATGAGGGGCCGGCGGTGGCGCCGAGAACCAGAGCTGGAGGCTACGGAGCCGGCTATGGAGGGTGCTGGGGAAGGGAGAGGGGAGGAGGGGCAGCTCCCTGACAGCATTGAGAAGTAATCTGGGGGATGAGGGGATGACAGAAACAAAGATAACAACATGGCGTGAATGTTTGCTGTGGTTACAGTGGTGGCTCTTTTGTTCCTGTTTTTCCTCTATTAACCCATGAAGAGAGACAAGGCTGGACCTAGACTGGGGGTGCACAGGGGACACCTGCTGGGCACTGAGGGCAGAGGGGTCTGCATCCCACCAGGCACCCGAGGGAGGAGGACCATGGAGCCTCAACCATGTTCTCCCTCTGCTCCGCTCCGATTTCTACTCAAAGGCCCTGGTACCTCCCTCAGCTGAAAGTGAGGCCTGGGTAGAAACAAACGGGAGACCAAAGGTCAGCTAACCTAAGCCCTGCTGATGGCGGAATCCCTCAGTCATCACTTAAGAATGACAGCATCGTACCTAATTATAGAAACTATTGTGCCCATTTCACAGGAGACTGAGACCCAGGGGTGTTAGGCACTTGCCTGGGGCTGCACAGTAGGGAGGCACAGGGCTGGGATTTGAACACAATCCCCTTTGGGGGCTCATCTAACCCCAAAGCTCATGCTTAACCCCTCTGCTGTCCTGCCCCACACAGCGCTTTGGGGACCTCGGCCCATGGACCACCCCTCCTGAAGCAGCTTCCCCATCACTCCTCTTGGTTCTGTCCTCCTCACCTGAAACTGGAACCTCCGTGGATCGGGATACCTGGGACGGTGGGCGGCTCCCACTGAACAGATACCCTGAGTCTGGAGAGGAAAGAGAAAGGTGACATGGGGCACCCGTGGAGACAGAGCCTCCTCTGCCCTCACATAGTCCACTCTGCCAGCGGTGTCGCGCTGTCACAAGAACACAGGCTCTAGACCACTGTCTGAAGTTCGTTGGGCACATCCTCACCTTGTAGATGAAGAAATTGAAACCCACAGCAGGCCACACACGAGATCAAGCCTGATGGCTGGTCCCGCACCCTTCTTTCCAATGAGGTCTGGATGCTTTTTTGAGTCCTGCCTCCTCCACCAGCCCATCACCTGACCAACTGCCTGCACTGGACCTCAGGGCACCTGAGCACTCCGCTCTTTCCTCAGTCAAGTGCACCCCAAGGGCAGGGACTCCATCTCACATGTCCTATTCCCCCAAGGGTCCCACTGAGAACTGAGTGGGCAGAGATCCACCATGTGCCCAGTGGGCACTGCTGCGCCATCGCCCAAGGGGCTCTGAGGGGCCCGTTGGCCGCAGAGCACCGCCCGACCTCTCCACCCACCAGGCCCAGGGACACAGACTCAGGTCAACCCAAGTGATCGGGCGCAGGTGGCCATGTGGCCAAGCACAGCCAGAGTCCTTTCAAGAACCTGCTCTATGGGCGCCGGGGAGGGGTCTTCCTCCTGGGCGTGACTGCAGGGACGCAGGAGTGAGGCTGCAGCAAGAGGAGCAGAGGCCAGCAGAGCGGAGGGAGATAGTGCTGGGCCTGTGACCCGGGCCACCAGGGCCGATGACCCACACAAACCTCATCCTCGGTCCACCTTGACAACGGAGACTCTGGGACCCCACCCATCACCTGACGTTCTGACACCAGCCCGCCTGCCAGGGAGCTGCCCTGCCGCCCTCGGGGCGGTGGACCTCCTGAGCCCTTGCCTCGGGCCTCCCAGGGTGACAGGGAAGCTGCCTGTCATTTGCAGTGGGTGGGAGATCTTGCCCCGAAGGTCTGAACTGGCTGTAGGGGGCCCCTTGGCTCGGCCACGCTGGTCAGTGTGCATGGACAGTCGGGGAGCGCTCGGGCCCACAGCAGTCTGCTCTCCTCCGCCCCAAATTCCACTACAGAACCACAGGAAGCAGAGAGGGACACCCTCCTAACATCAGCTCGGGGTGTGAGCACAATGGTCTGACCTTTGACCCCCTGGGAAGAGCTAAGCTTCTAGCTGTATCCCCATCCCATAATGATAACAGCAGCCATGTCCGCTGAGGACCCTGTTCTGGAAGCTTCCTTGGCATGGTCTCATGTCAAGCCTTCCACAGCCCCAAGGCACAGCCACCCATTTCAGAGGAGATGTTAGGATGCAGGGACCACCCAAGGTCACGGACTCAGGGGCCCCACTCGTTGCTCCCAGCTGGCCCGGTGGCCCCTGGCACTGTGTTTCCTGCATGTACGCAGTCCTCATGCAACCCCATGGAGTGTATTACCAGGCTCCCTTACGGGTGGGGAATGGGAGGCGCCAAGAGGTCAGTCCGAGGCCCCCATTTCCCCTCCATAGACCAGCAGCCTCGGACCGGGTGGGGTTTTCTCTGGAGGGAGAGGTGGGTGGCAACCGTGACCTGGGCTTTTGGTTTTCTAACCCTGTGTTTACCTTGCGGGGAACCTTTGGAGCAGGAATGTTCCCCTCGGAGGTCAGGTTCTTGCCTGTCACCCTGTGGGGTGATTTATCTGACTCATTTCATTTTTTAAAGAACAAGGCAAAAGGGAGCCCTCCCTGGGCAGCCAGCACCCCTCGCTCCCCAAGATCGCCAACACCAGGCTCTGGCAGGGCCCGCGTCCGAGCTGTCTTGCAGGGGCTCGGGAGCTGGGTCCCGACTCCAACCCTGGAGGCCTAGAAGCCTCTCAGGCTCCGGGTGGGGAGCTCCAGAGAACACTCTTTTGGGGATGGATTTAGCGACAGAGCCTCCCAGGCTTGGGGGGCCAGGGCATTCCACGTCCTCTCCCCTCTCCTGCCCCTACTCCAGCTGCTGTTCACGAAGGGCTCATGGAGGCCCCGTCCGCCGGCCCCAGGTCTGAGCTGGGCCAGGTCTCAGCTGTGACTCGCCTGCCACGGGCAGGGGCTCAGAACTCTGCTGAACAACCATTCTCGGCAGGGCAGGTAGCAGCCACTCTCCCCCAGCAACATGGCTCACGTCTGGTTACATGGAAACATCTGGAGTCCAGGTCTCTGTACGACTCGAGGCTCTCACCCCTGAATCCCACCCTGAAGGCCTCAAACACCATCCACCGCTCAGCTCATGGGTGTGTCCCGTGAACAGTCCCTCCTGCAGCGCGGCCCACCCTCTACCCAGAAGAATGCTGGACTGCACACTGGGCAAGAAGATGGCTGGGCTCAAACTCTGGGTCCTGGCAGCTGCAGAGGCTGGGCAAGAGGCGGAGGGAAACCGAGACTCACGGAGGTGTTGGACTAGAGCAGCAGCCCCTGCTTGGGGGAGTCGCTGAGGAGCTTAAATGAGACACTGCACGTCAGCAAGCCCGGCTTAACCAGACGCTGCCCACGTTCCTAGAAGCCTGGTCCTGCTGCCCAGTCCGCCACACCCCGAGGGCGAGGCAAACCCTGTGTGCACCAGGTGGCTTCCCAAAGAGATGCTGGCCATCACAAAACACCCACAGGGCTTCACGGAAGATCTGTGACAGGGACCAGGTGCTGGTCACACCAGGACTCCAAAAATGCCACTGACCAGAACCGAATCCCTGACATCTAGACCACACAGAAGGGCCAGGGGCAAATTTCCCAGTCCCCAGGATCTAAAAACAACAGCAATGAATTAAGAAATGTGATAAAAGATAAACCCAATGGGCCTGGACATTTATCGGCTGGATGCCTCAGCGCTTTAAATATGTCATCCCCTTTAACCCTCACTGAAAGAGGAGAAAACTGACAAGATGGCTGCTGAGTGCTTCAGGCCTGCACTTCCAGCTAACCTGCTCCCCTCCCTGTGCACTCTTTTCTTAGAATAACTCATCCTTTTACCCTAGAGGTCTTTAAAGAAGGTCATGGACTGAACCTCAAGAAAACGGGCAGACCCTCCTCAATTCCCCCGTAACAACAGCAAGTTCTTATCAAGATGAAAGGAATGTAGCCCCTGTTCACATCCTGATTGTTATCACCCTCCTGCTCCCATTTTTCTATAAAACCCCAGGGCCCCAACCCCAAGACAGGCTCACAGTCTTTAAGGCACTAGCTTGCTGTGACTCTCTTTGCCTGGCAAAGCAATAAAGCTGCTCTTTTCTATCCTCCCCAAACTCTGCCTGACTTTCAATTCAGCCATCAGTGTACAGAGGCCAGTTTTCCAGCAACATCACTACCACCACGAGGCAGGTCCCACTAATACCCTTTTTTTTTTTTGAGGGAAAATGAGGCTCAGGATGTTTAAGTCCCTTGGCTACGGCAGCTACTGAGCAGAGACACCAGGATTTGAACCCAGTTCCGCCTATCTCTATAGCAGGAGCTCTAACTGCCCTCCTGCACCGTCTCCCACCTTGTGCTCAGCCAGAGACCCTGTGCCCAGCCGCCCCTAGCCCCCGCTCTGCCCGCCCGAGTCCTTACCTGCTCGTGTCAGAGAGGGGATGGTGCCCAGCGAGAGGGCCCGGCTGAGGCGGCCCGGCAGTGAGGAGGGCGAGGCCCGTCGGGGCGTCCGGAACAGCTGCTGGTTGGCGAGTGGCAGGAAGCCGGGTGGGGTAGGGATGAACAGAGACGGCGAAGAGCCTGTGACACTCGGGCAGGGGATGGCCAGGCCGGGGCTAGTGGGGAAGAGGCCGGCAGAGTCTCCTGGGAAGTACCTGCAAGAGCCCATGGGCGTGGGAGAGAGGACCAGGGTCAGCCTGGGAGGGCTCTGCAGGCGGCCTCCACATGGCGGGTCCCCTCCCCTCTCCCACGGTGTGAGGTGGGGCCTGAGTCGGGGTCCCAGAGGAGGCGTGTGTTAGTTGAAGCGGAAAAGCAGTCCGACCACATTCACGCCATTAGGAGCGGGTGGCTGGGAGGTGCCAGCGTGACCCACCCCTCCCTGCATGCCCCCTCCCAACCCCCAGCTTCACAGCAAACTAGTTCCACTACGAGTCTCAGTATTAAAGTGACACTGTCGCCCTTACCAACCTCACGCCAACCCTTCATCTTGAAGCAAAAACACCCAGCCCTGCGCCATGTGCTCCGTCAGGCTAATGGCCTTGGGCTCCTCTGTGCCACATCCACTCAGTGCCCAGAGCCTCCTGACAGCGGCCGAGCTCGGGGAGCCCCCTGCTCCCCAGGGCCCGACTCCGGGAGTCTCACTGCTGCCCTCTGCTCTCAGACACCAGCCCCTCCTCTAAAGGCCCTGGCAGAGTGGAGGGGGAGGCAGCCAGGCCTGGGAATCCCCGGGAAGAGGCTCTTGTGGGACACCAGCCAAACTTGACCTCAGAAAGACCCGTAAACGATCGCAAGGCAGTTCAAAAGACGGAAGGTGACAGTGTCTCTTTAACTCGAGAATGGTACAGATCACACAACAGGACCTGGTGGCCCCAAGCCAGAATGTCAACCATGCTTCTGATTAAGGCAACCGATTACAGAGGGGGAGGGACAGAGGCAGTTAATACATTATTAGTCCACCGTCTGGACGGAGCTGCAGGGGGTCCAGCCTTACCTCAGTCCCAAGGGACAACTGAGCCCATGGACAATGTGCCGACGGACAGGCAGGCTGGCTCAGGCCCTGCAGCAGAGCTGGGGGCCGGCTAAGGGCCCCACTCTGTGCCCATCACAACCGCACACTCGGGCACCACTGGCCAAGCTTCACTCCACTGACTTCCCTCTTTCACCCCTGCCCCTGACTTCAGACAAGTTTATGAGGAAAGTGTGGGATCAGCCTATGTCCCCCTGGAGGATCATGTGACCTCCTTAATGCCTGTCAAAGTGCCAGGAGGCCACCTGGACTTCAGAATCAAAGAGGGGGACCCAGTATTTCAGGCACACAGGGACAGCGAGGCAGGAACTCATCAAGCAACCTTCAGAGGAGTCTGGTCAACCTGGCTGCCCCAGCCTGGACGCGCCTGCATTCCACCTGCTGACCTGTCCTGCCTAAGCCTGTCTGACCCCCACCTCCTTTCCCTCAAAATGCCCGGGGAAGGTTCTGCCTTTAAATGCAAGATATAATCTTGTATTGTCATTTTAGAATTGCGACACCATTTGGCAGGACAGCTGCTTCCTTGGGGAGTGGCCCGAGGTCAGGGGACCATCAGGCACTGAGGGGCAGTGAAGGTGCGCTGGGACCTTTGGCCAGCTTACTCCGATCAGGCAGGGAGCCCTGTCCCCAGCTGGGGCCCGCACCTCCCAGAGAACTCGTCTCCCGTGTGCAGCAGCAGCCTGGCCACGGCAGGGTGCGTGGGCCTGGCAGCAGACACGTCAAGACCTTTCAGCGGGCGGCAGGAGGACTCGGCGCTGGGGCCCCTGAGCCACCCCACTGGGCAGACCACAGGCAAGACCAGGAGTTGGCCAAAGGCCCCCCACTGCAGTAACCAGCAAGTAAGAAGAGAGGGGCCAAGTCAGGCCGCAGGTTTCAGAGGTGGCCAGCTGGGCCCAGGAGCTGGGTCTTGCTAGCTCTTTTCTGCTTTTCCCAGATCCTTCTCACACCTGGGGCTGCCCACGTTTATAACTTGAGTGTCTCAGTCACCTGGCACAGGCCACAGGTGCTTTCCCAATCTCTGATGCCACTAAAACTGGTGGCGCTGAGGGGGAGACAGCTCTTCATTCCGACCCCTCTCGCTGGGACTTAACTAGCAGATCCTTGTGAAGCGCCAAGGGTGAGCCCTCAGCCTGGAGCCGCAGAAGACAGTCCCCTTGGGCCCCACCTCCGCCAGGCTCCCGAGCACTGCCTGAATATCAGCTTCCTCTGGCAAGGCCCCCCCACTGCCTGTGCCCTCAAACCCCGTCTCAGGGGCACTCAGTCCGGAATCCCAGTCTGGCATCCGCCGGAACCAAGGGGCTCTGGAGCAGGTGGCAGGTTGTACTGCAGCCCACCTGACGCTGAGGGGACGTCTGCTTTTCCCACCTAGACCCCACCCCAGCCAGGAGCGGGAGGAGAGAAAGGACTATATTTTAAGCAGCGGTTTATTGAGACGACGAGGAAAAACACAACCCAGCAGGACACCTGAGGATGGCCTGGCTTCAAGCCGCTTGGTGCCCACGTTGCCAGCTCCCACACCTGACTCCGGGGGGCATGCTCGTCCCCCAGAGCCCCCGCCCCCTGTGCAGAAGCTTCTGAAGGATCGTGAAAGAAAAACAAAGACGTGGTGCCTGACGCCCACGGGTAAAAGCAGGGCCCCGGAGGCATTTATTGAAAATACAGCATCCAAAACACTACATCTACGGCCGGGAGTTGTGATTACAGTGATTAGAGGGTCACTAGACAGTCATCCACGTTCTACCACACAACAGAGGACAGGACACTCGGCAACAGCCATGGGCCGAGGGGACACGGGCCCCTCTGGGTGGGCTCTGGGGCAAGCATTATGGGGGAGCCCGCTAGGCCCGGGGCGGGAACCCCAAGCCCAAAGGGAGAAGGCGTCCAATGGCACCTCCTTCACTTCTCGGGGACCGTCACCCCGATCCCGGACGGTCAGGTGGTTGTCCCCAGCGGAGGGGAGAGGCCCCCAGCAGGGACGCCACGTTCCCCGTTAACAAGGCATGATCCCAGCGGCGCCTGCACTTCCTCAGCTGTTGCCAGTACCGCTGGAAGGCGCTGCAATATGCTCCGAGGAATGAGACTTCAAGGGACAGGTGGGTACTTTTAAAACACCACACAAATTCTAAAAAGGCCAGGAAGCCTTCCTTTGACGGGGTCCATCTCATGTCACGAGGGCGTCTTCCTGTCCCCGCTAGAGGGCAGGAAAGACATCTGCTCAGCAGGCTCCTGGCCAGCGAGAGAGCCGGTTCTGGTTATTATAAATAATTTAACTTAAATACACACATACACACAGATGTCCCGCTTCTACTCAACGCCAAGAAAAACAATAATTAGCATCGCGCCGTCAGTTTCCTTGAGAATAGGAGGTTCCAGATACAAAGGCACGCACAGCCAACAGACACTGGTTCCCCGCCTGGCACTGGTCCCCTCTCCCTGAGGCTGGCTGACTGGGGTGAGGGACAGACAGGGGCTCCCTCCCCGCCGACAGGCCGGCCACCCACCCCTCCTCCTCGTCAGTGCTCTTCCAGCTCTCCCTCCAACCAGAGCAAGCCGCGCCCAGCCAGACGGGCCTGGTCTGAGGCCACACAGCTACCTGGGGCGGCTCCGGACCCACCCAGGCTCTCCCACATGGATGCCGAGGGCGGCACGCCTGCCACCCCATCGCTCAGGTGAGTGGGGCTGGGTGGCCAGAGAACACGAGGATTCGTGCTGGTGGGGCTCGGGCATGACTCCCCTGCGCCCTGGGGGCTCTATGAGGGCCTGACCAGGGCACTCTCACCTGCCCCTCAGGCCCAGCTAGTCGATGGCCCTTTCCTAAGTGTGACACATGTAATCAGCTTTTGCCTTTCCCGGGCTCTGATGTGCAGAGGGGAGGGGTTGGCACACTTGGGGCCACACCTAGAGAGGGGCTTGTGGTCACAGTGATGTGTGGCAGTACACAAGGGCCCTGGAGGGGTTGCACAGCCCACTGAGGTCACCAGAGGGCAAGATGCCAGGCAGGGGACAGCCTTGGTCTACCTTCCTGCTGGAACCGTAGAAGGCAACCCCTAGGCTGAGAACCTCCTCCAGATGTGGATGGCACCTCAACTTCCAGAGCATGTCTACACCAAGGTCAGTACCCAAGGGCCCTGGAGAGGAGGCCACCTCTCATTCCACAGATAGCAAACAGGATGGGACAGCAGGGCCTGGCCAGGACCACACAGCTGTCCCTCCCGTCCTGCTGACCCAGGGAGAGCGAGGCTGTGGCAGCCCTACCGGGAAGCGGGAAGCAGGAGCCTCGGTGCTCTCCATGAGGGACTCCAGGGGCCAGGAGGAGGGTAGTGACTGGCCAGAGAGGGACAAGGTGACAATGACCTGATGTCATCATGGGTCTGTGTGTCCTTTGGGCCCCTTACCCTGTGCTAACCTCGGGGAGTCAGGACTCTTCCCAGGCATCATATTGGGGTGGGGCTGGAGGAAACTGGGGATACCCCTGGCATGGGGGGAAGGAGACAGGGCCAATGAGAGCAGTTCAGGCCCCACAGTGCCAGCCAGCTAGGGCAGCCCTGGCCCGGGAAGCCTGAACCCCAGTCCCTACAGGGAGTGACTGGAGGGCTTTCCATAAGGGTCGGGGTCCTGCCTTTCCAGGGCAGAACTGGGGGCTTCCCAGAAGATGGGCAGTGTGTGTGTGCTCGAGTTCTGTATGGCTCACAGTGATGCCCGAAAGACAGATGAATAAAGAGAAGAGTATACAGACTCCACCTCCCCCGCCCACTTGGGTGAGCTCCCACTACAGCCTGGCTGTTAAGAAGGAACTTGCTGACCACAGGAGAAGCATGGCCTTTCTACCATCCACCTTGAGAAGGGCCTTGCCCCACAAACTCATGGTAGAGGCCAGTCTGGGCCTAAGAATTGCGCTCTCTGTTCCCAGGGAAGGAGGCTGAGGGATAACAGGGTCTCAGCAAGGCCTCAGAGCAGGGAATCCAAGGGGCAGCCCTGCCTCCTTCTGGTTCCACCAGCTCTGGCAGGGCTGGCTGGGCAACGGGTAGGACCAATGGGGCAGACCAGAGAAGTGATGCTGGGACGAGGTAGGGAGCTCCGCTCTGGCCCCAAACCAGCAGCACCTGCCTGGGCCAAGCAGCCCGAGTTGTCAGGCCATACGGCATGGGCCCAGCGCTCGGCAAGGCAAGAGGAGAAGCAGACAGCAGGCTCTCAACCTTCTCCCACTGGTGTCAGAGCCAGGAGAAGGGCCGTGGCCAGCGTGGGGGTGCCCAGAGCCACCAGCAAAAAGCCACGGGTCAAAGGCAGGCAGTGTGGGGGCCGCCTGTGTTCTGGTCTCAGAGCAGTGAGGGGGTCTTTGGCCAGAGAGGTGGCAGCAGTGGTGAGCAGCTAGAGAGCACCTGGGAGCACGCTGGGTTGGGGAGTGGCTTGGTTGAGCCAGAAAGAAGAGGCGGGGAGGCCCGACTTCTTGGAGAAGGGGCTGGGCCAGGATCAGGGACCCTAGGATGGGTTGGGGTGGGAATGAGGCAGGTAAGAAAGATGCAAGACAGAGGTGCCCCGTCCGGGCTGGGGGCAAAGCCCTGGGCCTGTCCGTCCGTCTGTCCTCCCCCCGCAGTCACTGCTGCTTCTCTGACCTTCGAGGCCGGAACCTTCGTGGGCCCGTTGACTTCCTCGTGGCCACGGCTGCCGTGAAGCCCACCAGGCAGCACAGGGACGTGGTACTGAACTTGAGCGTGTCCAGCCAGCTGGGCGAGGCAGCCTGCAGGTACTGCTCGGCCAGGTGCAGCCCCAGCAGCAGGGCCCACAGGCAGGTAGAGAAGGCGTCGATTCTCCGGAGCCTGCAGGGAGAGCGGGAATGAGAGCCCATCAAGGTGGGAGAAGAGCTCTCTCGCTCCTATGATGTCCTGCCTCCTTCATCTGCACCCCTGGCCCCGCTCAGGACAGAATCCAGGGCCAAGAGAAGAGCGTAGGCCTCTTGGTGCAGCGTCCAATACTTAAACGCTGTATGACTCTGAGTCAGCATTGCTCCCGAGCCTCAGTGTCCTAGTCTGTGAACTGGGGCTAAGATACCCGCTGAGTCACTGTGGGATGACACAGACACTATTTGGTACAGGGTCTGCAACTGCACGGGGAAGCAAAGCAAGGACCCAAGGAATTCCCACCTGACCCTCCAACAACCCACGAGCTAGATTATCATCACTCCAATTCTGCAGGTGAGGAGCCTGAGGCGCGGAAGCGAGGCAACGTGGCCCCAGTGGCCCTGGCACATGGCAATAAGTGGTGGGCTGGCTCTGACACTGCTGCCCCTCTAAGGCAAGTCACTTGCCCTACTCTTGCCCACTGGATTTCCAGCTGCTGGAGAAGAAGGATGGAGTCTTGTTCCAGCTGCATCATGGAGCTCAGCCCACAACTGAGACCTAAGCTTTCCTCCCACTGAGCCCTGCCCCGAGGCCACAGTCCAAGATGCAGACCCCCGCCCCGCCCACTGCACATGTACCTGATGCGGCCGGCCAGCACCATGGCCAGCAGGCAGGTGAGCAGACCCAGTGTCACGACGCCCACCTGGTGGCTCTGCCCTAAGGCCCAGGCCTCGTGCAGCTTCTCTGCCACGTGCTCCGGCAGCAGACCCAGCAGCTGCCTCCAGCCCTCGGCCCCAGGGGCTGTGCCATTGTCAGGTGCGGCCGAGCCATTGCCACCAGGCGGCAGCGCTGGGGGCAGGGGGCCCCCAGGGGCAAAGGGGTTGTTGGTGCCATACAGCGCAGTGGTCAGCAGGAAGGCGCAGGCCAGGAAGGCAAGGGCACGGAGCACGATGACCTGGACCGGGGCCTTCACCACAGATGAGCAGAAGCTCTGAGGGAGGGACGGAAAGACTGGTCAGTGAGATGGCCAGAGCCACCCACCCATCCTGGGGCCCACACCATGCACAGGGGTCTGGCCAGGGCCCCACAGTCCTTGCCCAAGAATCCACTCAGTTCCTGATGGCCAGACGCCCTAAATGCTGACACACTCTTGGCTTGGTTTCTGGTTTACCACTGGGTCCCATTAATCTGTCTCATTTCTGGGCCGTCATCCCACTGTGAGAATTACTGAGTGAGGTGGGGCGGGGCACTGCGCTACCACGTTTTTCACAGAAACCCTTTTCATGTTACAGTGAGCTCTTCTTTCAAATTTTTTCAATCATGAAATTCGTATCAAAAATTCCTATTGTGGTTTTAACTGGAATTGTAATAAATGCACAGATAACTCAGGCCAAAGTTAAGTTAAAACATACAGCAACAAGTCGTTCAGTCTGGGAACAGGGTGGAGGGGAGGAAACCAAGGGTCAGGGTGCCCTGCTGGGCAAGTGGGCATGTGGGCTGGTGGCGTGGCCGTGTGGTCAGGGGCCTGGCTGCATGCCAATGGGACGCACCTCTGGGGAGCGGAGGGGGTGGGTGGGAATTTCTCTGGGGAGGATGGTTTTTACTTTTAAATCCACTTACTACTATGTCAGATTTTTTAAAACCATAACATCCCTTTATCTGAATACAGTGGATAAATTAATGATGACTTCAGCCAGCCGGTCCTGGGTTCAAATCCTGGTGACACGGCACACCAGGTGTATGGCCCTCTGCAAGGTACTTAAGCTCCCTGAGTTTGGTTTCCATAGCTGTAAATGGGAGTCACAGCACTCAGCAAAGTGCCCACCACAAAGGTGCTGTGAGGAACCAACACAAGGGCTGGGAAAGTGTCCGGGTGCAGCAGGGAAACTCAGAAACCCATCAAGCAGGCAGGTAACAAATGCATCCTGATACCAAGCCATTCCGCTCAGGACACCTGCTCCACTCCGGGTCTGGGGACAGGTTGGTACACGGCCCCACGGGAAGGCTGCTGCCCCAGGGAAAAGGACCTCAGCTCTGAAGAGCTGCCCTCCGGTCATCAGGCTGAGTCCTCTGTGAAGGGGTCTCCTGCACAAACCTGGGGGCTGTGATGCCCAGAATGCCCCGGGGCCACCCCTCAGACCTGAGTGTGGGTCTGGTCAGCCTCCCGGCGCTTGAACTGGTGGCTGAGCAGCAGGGCGCGCAGCTGGCGGTTCTGGTGCTTGATGTAGTACTCGACGGCCGCCTGGCAGGGCCGGCACAGCTTGTACATCTGCTCCAGGTGGTGCCGGTACACCTCGATCTCCTCGTCGTACCTGCCCTGTGGGGAGCGGGGCAGAGGCTCAGGGGCCTGGTGCTGCCTGCCTAGCAGGTCGGACCTGAGTTCATGTTCGAGCAGGGTGACCACGGGCAAGTCGCCCCCACGCTGCACTGGCTTCCTCCACCGCCCAAAAGGACAAACGGCCCCCTGGGTGCGGTGAGGGCATCGGGAGTAAGGGCCACCCAGAGCCCGGGACGCAGCAGGGGGCCTCAAGTGACAGGAGACACTCTAGCCAAGTTCTGCTGCTCCACAGGATGCACCTGGAGGCCAGAACTTGGGACATGGCCCCGCTCCCAGACACCAGGGCTCCAAGAAGGTGGGTGAGCCACGAGAGAAGGTAGCTCTGGGCTGACACCACCTGGATGCAGACAGATGGACAACCCAGAGATGGGCGTGCCT